ATGATCTTTTTGGTCTTATCATTGTGCCTCATTGTCTTCGGGTTGCCTTCTTCCCCGCTTAAACTGATCGGAAATCTTCCTCGAGCACCAAAAGTAAACTTCAAACAATACTCTGGTTATTATAATGTCAGTAGAGAGCATCGAATACATTACTGGTAAGAACTAGCGGTTTTTTTTTTTGCTTGTTATCGCTGAATAAAGATCAGTCTTCAAAAAAAAAAAAATTTTTCAGTCAATTATATTGAAAGCGACATTCAATTAATCATCGTTGAATTTGTGTATTTTAGAATTTGATCTCTCCAGTTATATAACTTAGTAAATTTGATGTGCTAAAAAAAAAAAGAACATCTTTTTTCTACGAGTAATAGTATGACTGCATTTAATATCAAAGGTACTGACAAGTTGAATACATAATTGATTTTTGTTTGTTGCCGTAAGATAGTCTAAGAGATAATAATTGGGATGTAAAGCTGAAAATGCAGATTTGTCAGTTTTTATAGTATGACTTTATTTTCATAACGGTAAACGCTGTTTTCGAATCTGATTTTTAAACTTGGCAAATAGCATCGTATTGTAGAAAAAGGCCTGGTTTACTTATTGATTACTGATATACATGAGTTATAAGCAAAAAATACATTGTATAATTTACATCTTTTAAGTGATTAGACTAATTGTGAAGATTAAAAATGAAACATACAACAGTTCTGTTACGTTTTGTTATTTTCGGCTATCAGAACTGTATAGAATACTTCATTTGTCAAATTTTTCAAGTTATTGGTGTAGAAAATCTGATCACTTTTTGGTAACAGCGCTAAGTGATTTTTTTTTTTTTCAGGTTTGTTGAATCAGAAAAATCTCCAGCTACAGATCCTGTCATTTTATGGTTAACTGGAGGACCGGGATGTTCAGGACTGTATTCACTGGTTACAACCAACGGGCCATTCCGTATGAATGCTGAAGGAAATGCTCTGGTAAAGAATCCTTACTCGTGGAACAAAGAAGCAAATTTGTTGTTTCTTGAATCTCCGGCTGGAGTGGGGTTAGTTAAAATCACAAAACTTTGCTGAATTAATTCAAGTCAGCAAAAAAATGCACTTTTTTGTTCTGATAAATAACTACCCTACCAGTCTTGCTATTAAGATCCTTCAGTAAAAGTAGCTGCAAATCATTAGCACAAATTATTTGTCAGTTTTTACGCACATCTTGGTCACCAATAATTTATGTCAAAATGCAAGATCTTCAAAGTTCTTCTTAATTTAAAATTTGAAATTTCTTTAGCTGGCAACATTACGAAAAATTTTCAAACATTTTAGTAATCTTTTTGTCAGAATTTTGGCTCATTAAGATTTGATGTGCGTCAAATTTAAAATACTCTTTCATTTGATAATGAAAATTTTTTTCTAACTGAGCTAATGGGATAAGTTTGGTGTTCAGTTGCAATATTTAAAATGAACCATGTTAGAAAAATTTAATGCAAAATTAATCTGTGCAGAAGTATCTGAAAAGTCGTCTTAGCTTTATCAAAGCTATTTTTGAAACTTTGCAACTTTTTTGCTTTAAACTATTAGGTTGGTGCATTCAAAGCTGAAATTTATAATTGCCTTCATTTTGTGAATTACAGTGAAATTAAACGAGCATTTTCTTGTCAAAATAACCATTGTTAGATAATTTAGATAATTGTCAATGTTTTATAAAAAAAAAAGTTGATTTTGTCACAAGAAAAGGTCTGAGTCTAGACATTTTTTGAGAGCTTAATAGGAAACGTTAGTTTGTTTGAAAAATTTTTAATGAACACATTTTTGACTATCATTCAATCTCAGTAAAACTTCTGATACGTGAAACAGTTTAGAGCGTTAACAAAGCCACAGCCATTTGGATAATAAGGTAATGAAGAGAAAGTCCATTTGATCATTTGATCATTTGAGCTCTAAAATGCTGTAAAACAAAAATGTGAGCCATGAATTTTGAATTTTGCTGGCATAGTGAAGATTTTCAAATAGCACTTTCGTATTCAAAAATTGAGTTTAGCCGTTGTCTTTAAATCAGGTTTAAAATTTTTGGTGTAACGTACCTCTAACAAATCGCTAAACAAAAGATACAAATTTAATTAGAACTGAAATTAGGTTTTGGAAAAAAAAAAAAGTGTTGTTTTTTTAACCACAGTAAAGTATATTTCAATTTGCCGCACAAGCATCGCTTTTCACCGCGCATCTAGGGAAAAATTTTGACTTAAAACAGTTAAATCAAAGTTTCTTAAAGGATTTCGCACTTTACTTTCTATTCTTCGTATGATTTATGCTCGATAAGCTTTGATAGTTTTCACTTGCTCTCTCTTTGTCAGATATTCTCCTGCGGTGAAATGAGAAAAACTAATTTACCATGCCAAATCTCATTTAGTTGTGCCTTAATTCATTGCTAAAGTCTCTTTCAAAAGCTTGAAGAAATCACTACACTTTTTTTGGCCTTACTATCACTTTTGTAGAATCTTTCAAGTCTAAAATACAACATATATCTTTGAAAAACTTCTTTATTCAAACAATAATTATTGCATAGTATATTCATGCAAAATACGTTCACTTTACATTTGAAAATTTGATGTAATATTGTAAAGAACTGAATTTTTTTCCAATCTTTTTTACGGTCAGAGAGAGCTTTTAAAAATGCAAAACGAATTTGTTGAAAAAAAAAAACAGTGATTTTTGTTGCTTTCAAAAAAGTTGTCAATATTTATGGCAACAGTTTTAGCTTTAATTGATCACCTAGTTTCGAACAAATTTGTTGTCGAAATTCTATTTTTAAATCTAGCATATTGGAAATTTCTTACTGTTTTTAATTTTCAGCATTTTTAAAAACAATTCGTTCGTGCATTTTTAAGATTCAGTTTTAACAACTGTAACAAAAAAAGAAGAAAATCTTTAGTCCCCCAAAAAAAAAAA